AGGAATGAAACACAACTTCGCCATCCCCTGATTCAGCCCATGCTGCAAGTCTCACACGAGCAAACTGATGTGTCTCGAGAGAGGAGGTCACCTGGCCAAATGACAAAACTAGATCACGGGGAGGCCAGGTGCAGGATGCAGGAGCCGTCCATCCAACAAGGGCCCCTCCCCATGAGCCATGCCCGAGAGCTCCCTAGAGGAAGAGCTCCACACAATAGCATTGGTTCCTCCTACGTGCGGGGAGCTCTGGCCTGAAAATGGTCACCAGCACGACAAGGAAACCAACCAGGAGACCGATGGATCTCCACCGCCAACAGGAACAGCAATGACAGGGACAGCATGCCAGGCCACGGGCCTGAAAGAGTGGGACAGGACCGGGAGGCAGCTGCTGCCGGAGGAAGCTCAGAGCTTTGGAGATGTGAGACCTGGAGACAACAGGTGTCTGCTCACTCCACTGCTTTAGGGACGACTCCACTTAACATACACACAAAGAAACTTTAAAAAGTTCATGAAAATCAAATTATCTGTTTACTTTGGTTCAATAAAATTTTGTTATTCATGCAGGTTTTTTTTTTCATGATATGTACTTTCCATGAACTTTTTTGTTACTATTGAAAAGTAGTGAGAGGGAGAGAGGGGAAGACACAGCTTCCTCTGCTGGTTCACCCTGAAATGCCTGATGTGGCCAAGAGTGAGCTAGGAACCCAGGCCAGACATCCTGTTTACTGAGGAGACACCTGCTGCCCCCTGGGAGTGCAGCGGCAGGGAGCTGGAGTGAGTGCCAGGGCAGGACTCCGACCCAGTGTGTATCCTAAGCCAAACCTTCTCCTCGGGAACTCTCCCTGTGTGTGTGTATGCGCACGTGTAACCGCCAGCACAGCCAGAAGGCCACACAGCTGGACTGACGTGCCTCTGGCTCTGCAGGCCAGTCCCATCAGAGCTGCACTGGCCTGCCGCACCTGCTATATGTCACTCAACGTCACGCTGGTGCCACATGTCGGCTTTGCTGCTCACGTCATCTCTGCTGTAGCGGGGGGTTGACGCGATCCCTGTAGCCACCTGCCATTTGGTGATCAGGGTACCATGAACAGAGCTGCTAGGGTCTTTATGTGGCTACAAGCTTTCCTGCTAGACAAACACAGGAGTGGGATTTCTGGACCCTGAGTTAGGGCTATTCCTAACTTGATCGGAAGTTGCCAAATACTTTTGCAAACATTATTTTGAAGAGCTGGGTTTCTCAATGACAAGGATTTGCCAGTTTGGGGGTGACACCAAGATGTCCAGCAACACAACAATCTGGAGAAAGGTCATGGACATGTGCTGGCAGGGGGAGTGAATGGAGAGGCCCTAGGGACGCATGTGGCGTGGGCCCCTCGACCCACCCTCAGCACCCACAGGCTTGTGCGAAGGCTGCAAAGGCTCAAAGTTTTGTCACCGTCTTGGTGATTTCCATATCACTGCACTTTCTGCACTTTGTAAGTTAAATGGGGAAACACCACTCTCCAAGAAGAAATCTCCCCTCAAGCCAAGCCCAAGCCTGCCACGACATCACAGCACTGGGCCTTGTCTCTCAGTACTTTTGTCTTTTCCACGAGACATGAAAATACACACATACAAGCACTGATGTTCTCTCCAGAGACTTCTGTTCTCGGCACATACTTGCTGTGAGTACCTTCAAGAAGGCACAGAAATCCATGTGCTCTGAGCACCCAGCACGCTCCAGGCCTGAGCTGTCCCTCCCTTACAACTGTAACCACATTAAAATCCCTGCAACAACCCAAGACACACCAGCACATCCCTGTCAGAACACAGTCACATAAACTCGGCACAGACTGGGAGACACGCTGACCACTGAACACAAACCCAGCAACAGGCGAGGCTGACATTCAAAGCCCAGCAGGCTGAGCCTGCAGTGAGAGCGACAGATCTCTAAGCTTAGCAAGGGCTGAGAAGGGAGCAAATGAAAGCAGGAATGGTGGAGGGATTTCCAACATGCTTTCTGTTCAGCAGAAGGCCAAAACACCTGTTCCAAGTCTTCCAGAAATATTGCCTTTCTCCTCCTTCCTAAACACCCTTGAAACACCATGCTTTGCATGGATGTGAGGCTCATGACTGAGAAACAGGATACCTGTTCTTCGGAGCTGGGGTGGTCACTCTCCAAGTGACGTGTTTACACTTGGCTCACAGACCAAACGATGAGACACGCAGAGCCCCCACAGGCCCAGCTCTGCCAGAGGCTAAGCAGAAGCAGCCAGAGACACAGAGCGAGGAACAGAGGCTGCCGTGGTCCCTATCCCCTGCGGCAGAAAGCTCTCTGAACGCTGCGCCCTGCCTCTGCTCGCAGGTCCGTTTTTAGCCCAGTACTGCATCATTGGGGGTGAGTCAGCAAGCGTGTGACCTGACTCGAGTCACAGTGCCCGAAGAGGAACGTCGCAGCTAATTCCATCGGAGCAGAGATCTGAGAGCGAGAGGACAGGCCGGGGGCACCGACCTGCAAGCGCACCTCTCTCGTGGCCTCCTGAAGCCCTCCCAAACACCGCAGCCAACTGTGAGCCTCCCCGTCCCGAGGCTCCGCGGAGAGCAAAGGAGGCAGCGCCATCGCGAGGACATCACTGGATCTTACAAAGACATGCCCCATAACTCGGTCCGTAGAACACTTGATTGAAACTAAAGTTCCAGGCCAGCATTCGGGAGAAGCAGGTAAAACCAACCCCCTGCAACACTAGCCTCACATTTGGGTGCTGCTGGTTCAAGTCCCAGCTGCTCCAATTCCAAGCCAGCTGCCTGTGAATGGCGTGGGAAAAGCAGCAGCAGATGGCCCAGGTACGGGGGTCGCTGCCACCCATGTGGGAGACCCGGATGAAGTTGCTGGCTCCCAGCTATGGCCTGTTCCAGCCCTGGCTGCCTTAGCCACCGGGAGAGTGAATCGGCGGATAGAAGTTCAAGTTCTCTCTCGTGCCTTCTGACTTTCAAATAAATGAATAAACACACACACAAGACCCCCCAAATCATGAAAATTACAGGACCTTTTCAAGTGATTTTTAGATCATCCCAAAAGTGCTTAGACACTGAAATTCACCAAAATCCATCAGGGGAATCTATTTCAAACACTTTTCACAGTGTATTAAAGTATCACTGAGCAAAGTCCATGCTAGAAAACTGTTTACAGAACTAGTCACACAGAAGCGAAGAAGCTACCCTAGAGACCCAGCCAGAGGCAAAGACGGACCCATGGTGTTGGTCGCACACAGGGGCACACCTTGCAGCAAGGAAAGCAAGGGCTCACGACGGTGGTGCACACACAGTGGAGTACCACGCAACAAGGAAAATGAAGATCATACTGAGAAATCCCACACACATAGCCCTGCTTGCGTCAGATGCAACAAGGCTTATACTGTCCAGGACAAACAGGCAAGCCAATCCACACTGCTGGAGGCCAGGGTGGCGATGGCCAGGGCATGGGAGGCAGGTGGTATAGGGAGAGGGACCAGGAGGGGCATGGCTGGGAAGGGGGACTAGGCCACTGATGGTGCTGTGGGCCATGAGCCCAGTGCAGCTTCCATGGGTGGGCTTCAGGGACAAAAATCCACAGAGCAGCACCTGTGTGTGTGCTACACCTGGGTAAAAACAGGTTTAAAAGATGAAAGGGAAAAAAAGGTCAAATAACCAACATTCGCTGGACTATGCCACTTTCAGAGCTGTACTGCTTCCCACACGTGTGTGTGCCACTGCCTCAGGCCGACCCACACCCACGTGGCCTCTGGTCACACTCGGCTCCCTTGGTCCTTGACAAGGCACACCCCGGGCCCAGCAACAGACGCCAATGCCTGGCAGGTGCACTTGGTGCCCACAGCAAGCCTGAAAGTGGCCCCAGATGCAGCCCACAGCCGACGCTCCCTGCCGGGTGCCCTGCATACACCTGTGCACGGAGACACAGCAGCAAGTTCCCACCAGCCACTCTGACGCCTGCAGTGTTTTCTAAACCTCCACCAACACTTGGAGAGGAGAATGAGAGGGCTCGTTACGGACCACACCCCAAGGGTCTGCTGAGTTCCACGCCACGTGGGCCCCCACACAAACTCCACGCTGCTACAGGCTTGAAGACACAGATTCCATCTAAGCACCTCCAAGATCACCAGTGACCTGATGACCACTTCCATCGTGGAAAGTCTGCTTCGTAAGTGCAGGAGACACCACCACCCACCGGCGATGGGGGAGCGAACAATAGGCAGAGAAAACAAAACTTCCACTTGCACGAGGGTGGAGGGGGGCAGCGTACATTAATCAATATCCAAGCAATGGAAACTCCCTGGCACCTTCCATCCTTCCTCTGTAGGTGGCGTTTGTGTGGGAGCTCGGAGATGTGGGTGAGCAGCCTGGTTGATGGCGACGTGTCCTCACACTAGGTGTGGTCAGTGCAGCTCCTATCAACCCCGGAGGACAAAGCACACAGTGGCACACACGACCTGGAATTTTCTCCAATAGCCGGCCTGGGAAATGGGCAGCATGGCACTGCAACCATGAGAGAAACAAGCCCACAAAGGGAACGGTGCCTTCCTCACATTAGCAGTGACGACCGTAAGTCCGTCCAGGGAGGCAAGGGCAGCACCCGCACAAGGGCAGCGCAGTGCGTGTCACCACCATGTCCCCTGCTCCTCCTTTCCCTTCGCTGTAACTGGGCAAACACTAGGACAGAAGCTGTCCAGCTCCCAGTTCCACAGCACTGTGCCAGCCACAGCTCAGCGACGGGCCAAGTCTTTCTGTGGCATTATGGCAGATGGCAGCTTGCAGGAAAACACAGCCAACACACCTGCTCACGGCTCTCTTCCTCCCTTCAAGCCACTAAGGACCCCACCCACTGCCCATCACCTTCACACACACACAAGAGCACGCATGGGGAGCAAGTTCCCCGCAGGGACAGCTGGAAAGTTCACTCAAGCCATGACATCCATGCCAAGTCAGAAAACTGCAAAAACAAAAAAAGAAACAGAGTCACTCACACGACTGACAATGGCCATTCTCTCTGTCCTGCCGAGTGTGCCTGACTCGACGCCGACCCGTCCCAGATCCCAGCCGCGTCTGCACGTTCCACTCCAGCTCCGCGGACGCCGTGATGGCCGCCAGCAGCTCCACTCCACCACCTCCCAAGGCCAGGGCCGGTAGGCCAACAGCTCTTCCTTCCAAGGAACTCCCAAGCTTGCCTCAGTCAAACCAGTAACACTTTGGAATAATGGCCGAGGCCAGAGACGAGCAGCTTTCTTGGCTGCTTGTGCCTGGGTGCTGAGCCCACACTAGTACTCAGGTATGGGATCCCAGGCTCCCCTGGGAGAGGCGCCACCTCGGGCAGCCCAGGTACGCCCTGAGTACAAAGCAGGGACCAGAAGCCTGTAGAAAAAGGGTGCCCAGCGGAAATCCTGGGTATTAGGACCAGAAAGGAGGGGAGGCTGCTAGGCAAAGTCATCAAGCCTGCACCACCACCGGGCAGCCAAGGCGTTGGAGGTGAATCTGACAGCAACCACCTCCAGGTCACACACTGGCACACACAGGGTAAGGGCGAGTCAGACACGCACCACACTGCCCACCTCCTGCTGGCGCCGCCCCGCCTCCCTCCAAGACACCAGCCTGAACCCTTCAAGGGTCAGGGCAAGGGGTCACGAGACAGCCACGCTGCTCCCACCCTGAGCACGGGCCGCCCCCTCTGGCTTCTACCGTCTCCACCCCTTCTGCCTTCTCCAGAGACCAGACCCTGCGGGGTCATGCCTATTCATCGCTCAAGTGTAAGCCCTCGGCCCCACCCCCTTCTCGTTCCATAGGCGGCCTGATAGAAAACCCGCGTGTCTCATTCCACAGCCAGTCTGACAGGAAACCCGTGTGTCTCCTGCCTCGACATATCGTCCATTCAGTAAAGACAAGAACGGTGGCCTCTGCCTTCCTTTTTCTTTTTCTTGGAGGAAAGCTCCAGGGCGAAGTGTCAGATGTTCAGAAGCTATCTGTAGTTTGGATGAAATCATAAAAGCCCAAAGAGCAGGGCTTTGGACGCAGATATGAGAACACCCGAGACCCACTACCCTGGGAACCCATGGCATTGACCAACACAGGGTGATCTCTGGTGACAGTCCCTGGCTGCCCTCTGAACCATTTGCTTCAGATTCCAGCAGCTGGCATCATGTGTTCCTGGCAGACACCTGGGCCAGCGTCCTGACCCTCAGGACTTCAACAAAATGGCTTCACAATGGTCCTCTACAGGCCAGCAGGGTCTTTCACACGAGGGTCTTTTCACAAGTGCCCCTACTTCCTGAGCCTTTCCCAGGAGCCAGATGTGCATGTCATCAGCTCCAGCCCCCACTGTCAGCCTGTCCGGTCTATTCCTGTGTGGAAACATGACTCACAAGATGCACCACAACAAACCCAGCTGTGTGCAGGAGATAATTATTTCACAGTAATTAAAATGAGCTACAGGCAGAGGGAGGCAGCAGCAAAGCATGACTCTGCACTTTCTCTGTTATCTGTCCGGGACCACTTGCTCTCAGAAGAAAGCGCCTGCCAGGAGCGGGACTCCCCGGCCCTGGCCACCCCGCATAGCCCTCCCGGGAGGCCTGTTAAGGGAGAATGCTAGGGCCCCGGACCAGAAAGCTCCGACGTTCCCTCCTGCACTGCAGTGGTGGCTGACTTCCCCCACACATGTCCCAGCCCGTCAGGACTAGCCAGGAATGAAGAACGGTGGGGAGAGCTGAGCTGAGCTCAGAGCAGCAGCTCCTCTTCCCGGGGCCCCCTCTCACATGCTGTGACCATCCCCCCGGGACTGTCATCTCGACCCTCTCCCCATCTTGCGGGGCCAGTGTACTTCTGGAAGAAGCAACTTTGGGTGAAAAATAGAGGGTGAGGGTAAAGAAGGTGGGGCAGGGAAGATGCCATGCCTACAGGTGCTTTCAACAAAGATCTAATCCACACCCAGCAGGTGTACCACCTGGGCACCAGAGGCCAATGGACTGGGCTGCTCTCTTGAGCAACAGGAATCACTTCTATGTGTGTGTTGGGGGAGAGAGTACCTCTCCCAGCCAGGAACCATCCTCAGATGAGCTGGGGAGGGAGAGGGGTAACACTGGCAGCCGCACCCACACTAGCGGGGAGAGCAAAGGGGTCAAGGTGAGGCAGCAGCACCTGCTACACCCTCGGCGACAGGAGTCCCTTGACCGAGGGCATCCGGCCTGCAAGGGCCACCGGTCAGGTCCAGAGCCTGGGGTCCACAGCCCTAGAATGCCAGGGCTTGACTTCCAGGATGATGGAATCCCCCAGAAGTGACAGCGACAAGGAGCAAAGTCGAGCTGGTCCTTCTTGGAGCAGGTGCCCCTGCTAGGTTCAGAAGGCCCCCTCCAACGTCCCCCAGGCAAGGACAGAGCGCTTCCAGGAAGCCTTTCCTGATTCTTTCCAGGTTCCCTGGGGCACTGCACCCAATGAGTGTTCCAAAAGCCAACAAGCTGAGCACGGCTGTTGGGGCTGAGTACAGAAGCGCCTCGCCTGGTTCTTAGCTCCTACCAGGTGCCCCACAGCGAAAAGCTGCCTCCCATTAAAAATGTCATGATTAATTCCCTTTCCCCAAGTTACTCAGCGGACTTCAGGATAGAGCGCTGAGGAAGACAAGAAACTGGCAAAGGCTGCACAGCTGTCAGTGCGGCATGGGGAGGGCAGAGCCAAGCCTGCACCTGGGGCAACCCCAACGGCCTCCTCAGGGCGGCAACAGTACCACTGGCTGGCGTCTGACAGTGATGTCCCAGTGCGTGCCCAGTTCTGCAGGGGAAGGCATCTGTCCAGGCTGCAGTTGCAGGGAACGAAGTGAGTTCTCCCCCTCCACACAAGCTAGCGTGCTCTCCTGCCTCCGCCACCCACACACTCTGTGCAATGATGCCACAGCGCCACCTGCCACGTTGGGATGCAGACAGGTGTAACGTCCACTGGGCCTGGGGCAGCCACAGGCTTGCTTAGCCTTGCACAAGAAGGCCCTGTGGCTCCAAGGAAGGAAGCTCAGGAGGGGGTGATGTGGGCGGGTAGACATCCTTTAAGATGACACCAAGCTGGACCCCAAGCAGGGTTCTTGCTCAGTAGGAAAAGGAGTCATCCCAGCCGACTCCAAGGTGTCCCCCAAACCCCCGGGCCACTCCGTGTTGCTTCCCTGCCCTGAGCCCAGGCCTGCACCTCTCCCACTCTCATTACCCAGCCTACAGCTCAAGGGCTGGGGGGAGACAACGCAACAGCACCCCACACCCAGCCCTGCTCCGCCAGCCCCAGGCCGCACCTGCCTCTCTGAACACTCTGGCATGGGCCACACAAAGTCCCCAGCAGAGCCCATGAGGAGGGCTGAGCACGTGACACAGACCACGGAGCGGGCTGAGCATGTGACACAGACCAGCCCAGTGAGAGGGCTGACCACGTGTGCTGAGCATCTAACACAGGAGAGGGCTGAGCGCGTGACACTCACCACTCCAGAGTCTCAGCAGCAGCCCGCAGCAGTATCGAGGTCGCTGTGGGGTCACCTGGCTCCCGGCAACCCCCTTTCCCTGCCCTAGCACCCAAATGGGAGGCCAGCATGGAGCTCTGAGCTGCTGGCTTCCGCCTAGCAGCTGGTGATCGCAACCATTTGGGGAGTGAAGCAGCAACTTGGTTACTCTCTCTCTTTCCCTGTGCTCCTGTCACCCTACCTTTCAAATATAAGTAATTATTTTTTTAATTTATTTTCCTTATTTTAAAAAAAAATTACCTGTTTTCATTTGAAAGGCGCAGTGACAAAGAGAAGGAGAGAGAGAGAAATATATTCACTGGTTTGCAATCCAAACAACTTCAATTAAGCCAGTCCAAAGCCAAGACCACCCTCCACCTGGGCGCAGGGACCCTAGCACTGGGGCCATCCCCCACCGCTTTCCCGGGCCACCAGCCAGGACGCCAAGCAGTGCCTCTATGGGATGCCAGTAAAGCAGAGGCTGCTGTACCCAGTTCACCACAGGACCAGCCCCATTGCCAGCATGTTGCTATCCTTGCGTTTTCTGGCCTGGTTATTGTCTTCTCCAACTAGAAAGTAAATCCTCTTGGCACAGAGTCCTTCTTTCACTCATGTCATATCCACAGTCATACCAACATTGCCCAACACATAGGCGATGTCCTGCCAGTGCTGTGGGTGAATGAAAAACTCACGGACGGGAAGAGGGGCGCTCTCACTCATGAAGCAGCAGGACCCCAAGGGAGGGGAACAGACGGTCTCACAGCAGTGACTTTCAACAGAAACCAAGGGCTGTGGGCAGGTGAACCCCAGAGCACCCCACCCCAACCCTACACAGTGCCTGGGAAACAACCAGGAACCAAGATGGAAGATTTGCAAGGTTTCAAACACACAAGCCCAGGAACACAGGCAAAGCCACAGTGCGAGGCTCCCAGTCGGTTCACGGGAAAACACACACCATCACGAGCTACACGAAACCCAACTGCCAGCTCACCCCGGCACTCAGAATTAACGATCACTGACAAGCGACATGGCACAGGAAGTCAGCGGCCTCTTGTGCAGAGGCACGCGGCAGCGGCACAGAGCTAAATCAAGCCACAGCACCGTGAAATGGCACAGGAGAAGCGAAGAGGATAATTTCTCGAACAGTAACTCTGATTGCGAGAATGGATGGGGAGCAATGAATTTCCTTGTCCCCACACTCTAATATTGGTCACCAGCTATTACTCCCATCCATCATGTCCCACATCATGCAGGGCGGCTTAAAATTGGTTGGGGATGGGCCTGGTGCAGTAGCCTAGTGGCTAAAGTCCTCATCTTGCATGCACCAGAATCTCATAGGGGTACCAGCTCTAATTCCAGCAACCCTGCTTCCCATTCACCTCCCTGCTTATGACTGGGAAAGCAGTAGAGGATGGCCCAAGCTCTTGGGACTCTGTACTCATGTGGGAGACCTGGACGAGGCTCCTGGCTCCTGGCTCCTGGCTCCTGGCTTCGGATTGGCTCAGCTCTGGCCATTGCGGCCACTTGGGGAGTGAACCAGCGGATGGAAAAGACCAGCCCTGAGAAGCTGTTGCCTGCAAGAGGCCGTTCTTAGAAGGCGGCCGAGATTCCATTCAGGAACTATCCCGGAGCAGCAGAGCTTGCAGGGGCAGGGGGCGAGCAGGGTAGTGGGCAGGACAGGAAGTGGGCTAAGGGCAAACAGTTGCATTTGGCGATGTGGTTACAAAGCTGAAAACTCCCAGGCTGCACTGTTACACCCACGGGCCAACAAAGCCGCTGGGAGAAACAAAGCCACTGAATCCCAAATATGCTTCCAACAGGCCTGACTGCACTTGTTACCTCTGGCATGAAGTGGACCAGAACTCGTGTTCTGGGTTATCCCACCTCTCATGCCTGCCCCACATCTTACGTCCTGGCTTCCATCTGGGAACTCTGACTTTTCCTTACCTCAGACCTGGCCAACTGGCAAGTTCTGCATATTTATGACCCATAAACAGCCCCTTTCCCTTCGCCAAGATAATATCGTTCCAAATTAAGGCAGAAATCTCGGGAGTGCAGACCTTTAACGTCTATACAAGCTCACTTTTCAGGTAGTGAAGACTGGTTACTGCTCTCAAAACACAATCAAATTCTGTCCTGGTCCCCCAGCCAGCAGCAAGAATTGTGAGATCTGACTTCATGGTCTCACATCTCCCTGAACTGTCCCTGCTATACCATTTACTGCTCCATGATTTAATGCGGAACTTGAGAAAGTTACTTGAATTTAACATCGTATAAATGTCCCTTGCTATGAAATAGCTGCACTGACACCCAACAGACCT